TACTGAAATGAAATGAGAGCTTAAAAGATAGTAAATACAGTGTAATAGAGAACATGTTTTTCACGATCAATTATTATTTATGCTATAAATATATGTACAGATAACATACGTAATATACCTAGTAGTTAAACTGGCAAGCCAAAAAAAGAAAACGAGAGGGCACTACATACGTTATCTATTAAATGACATGTGCAATATGTACAACCAGTTCAGCTTTTCATTCAGTTTATTGAATTCTCACATTGCTAAGAACTACTTTGAGAAAAAGGAGGGTAAAACTATAAATACTGTGAGCAATGAGCTTATAAATTATAACCCTTGCATCCCATATGAACATAATGGCAGTGTGTCCATGTTTGCTATGGGAAACGCAAAATATATGTCGGATGAAAAAGTAAAATAGGAGGTGCACAATGGCAATATGTAAAATAAACTTTGAAAGTTATATCAAACTTCACTCAGTGATATGAGAGTAGTTGCTGACATCCCGATTATTATACTCCCCGCCCCAGTTTTCAAGCGGGGGTATGATAATACAAAACACATTAAGCACGATTTGCAAATGCAAACCTTCAATAAAGTGATCTGATACAAATTTATCAACAGCTTTATTAAAAGTGTAAGGTTGAGTTAGTTTTGATGTAGTATAGATGTACAGGTATTCCACAACACATGGACTTTGAAAAGCATACATTTACCGTTACGCTTGTTTTGTACAATGATGTATAATTTCGGTTGTTTTTAGAGAATATATAGTACCATAGCAAAACACGAAAATACGAAAGCACAAATGATTACGCCTTTACCTTTGAAATTCCACCAAAAAAGTACTGAAATTACACTCTTGCAATAAAAAGGGTAGGCAGGTCTGCGACTGTACAATTTATGTTTTATGTCAGAAATCCTTATGCAGTAGCGTATTATAATTTGTACAAGGTTTATTTAAACAACAAACTTTCTATAAATTCAATGAATTATTAGATTTGTCATTTTATTGAAGGAAGACAGATAGTTAAAAATGATAATTATTATGTTGCCCAGGGAAAGTAATTTTGAAAAGAGAAATGTTTTTTTTTTATTATTTAAAGCAATTTGTTATCAATGACCTCCAATTTACAGTTCGAAAAATAGTTGAATATCTTAACAATAATATAATGATTAAATACATAAGATTTACTTTAGATTTTAAACATATTAGATATAATTAAGAGGCGCACATTCTCTATCCTAACTTGAGTTAGCGTCTCTCCCCAGACAAAAGATTTGGGTTTTGATGGTCGCCATGCTTATTTGTGGAAAGGATATTCTTAGCAACCCGTTCTGTTGCCGAGAATTGACCATTTCTGACAAATGGACTTTTCTTGTTATAAAATTAGTTTACATGGAAAGAAATATAAATCTCAGAAAAACGTCTCAGCATTTATGACAGAATACTGGAGAGGGGGCACATGACCGCCAATATTATGTGATTTACTCATGAGCAGAACAATGGCAGATGTGCATTATACTGTAAAGAATTTCTTTAAAAATATAATCAACACTGAAACCAAATATTGTTTCTTTTTTGGAGTTCTTCAAATGGTTTGCGAACTTGTTGATCACCACCTCGTATGAGATTCAATTATTTACATGTATAGTTTTTGTTCTGTCCATCCGTCTATCTGTTTTTCCGCAAAAACTTAAACCTTATCCATAACTTTTGAATGGGTGAGGGTTAAGACTTTTTTTTATTTTACGGATGATTTCAATGTATCACTAAATTTGACCTAGGAGGTTTTTTTTTTTGCATTACAAAAACTTTAACCCCAGCGATAAGCTACCATATGGGGGTTAAACCCCAGTCACATTTCCCAGAACGACCAACGGCCGATGGTTTTTGAAGCAAAAATGGGATTCTTCGGGTGAAAGTCGGCAGTTCATCGACCGTTGTCTTGCCCGAGTTTGACCTCTTTTTTTGGTCGGCCAACCAATTTTGTGTCCATCGGTCCAAGTTATTCTTTTTTCTGCGTAGGTTTCTTCAATTGAAGTTATCCGTCGACCAACCTTCGATCATCGTCCGACCATCGGCGGTCAGTTTATTAAGTCGGTCGTCCGTCGTTCGACAATAAGGGTGTCCAAAAGTTCGGCCGACGGTTAAAATCAAACTGTAGCTCAGAGTTCGATGATCGGGCGACGATTGGCTGACTTGTGAATATTTAACATATTAAGGATACATAACAGAAATAAAATTTCGATGCATGGATTGATTTTTATATTTTGAACGGAAATATCATAAATAATTGATCCGTAAGATATAAAGAAATCTTAAGTATTCTTTGCTGCTTAGATACATGTATGCGCCATTTATCGCTTTTATGCAATTCCCCTAACAAAAAATACTATGGTTAACTATAGTTAACTATAGTATTTTTTGTTATTATATGTTACTATATATTTTGTTAGGGTCTATACAAAATTTTGCACACATTTTCAACATTGAGTCGCAATCTTACAGAATTCCGCCACTTTGCCTGCAAACATTACTCACGTCACCTATCTGAATATAGATATATGAAAAAAATATTGCTGATTTCTAAAGAAAAAAGATTTCGTCGGTGTTCCTAGGAATTAATGTGACTGCTCCGTGTCGCCCGATCATGTTCTCTCAGCCGACAAGACCAGAAAAATTTTGTAGCCCGACCATCGGCTTAAATGTGACCTAGGCATTAAAGTTCAGTCTTATACATTAGTAAAGATGCACAATTAATCAAAATATGAAAATCTGAATAACGTTTGTATTTTCGTTTGACATAACTGGTGCATAATGAAAAGGGAGAAAACAATCTTTTTTAAAATCAAAATAAGCAAAAGTACTAATTGTCAATTGTATTTTCCAACTCTTTGCATAAAAATATTCTCCATTTAGATCATAAACTGTATCGGGCAAAGGGAAACAGGAAAACAATAAGTTGCACACTCATCTGTACCAAAATTAAAAAAAAAAAATGTCACTGCACGCAGACTTTAAGAATTTGTTGATTTTCCTTCCGCTCCTTTAAATACACTACCTAATTGAAAAAAAATAGAGCCATCTTCGATTTTTATAACTAAAAATAGAGTTTTGTAACTTTCTTGCTTAGGATTCATATTATTTGGCTTTTACTAATATTGACAAAGATACGACTCGGTCAAAACATAACTCTGGAATCATTGCAGCACAGTTAAGGTTACAAATGGAAATATCGGCGATTTTTTAAGATAAAAAATACATACTTTATTAGGAGGGGCGATTCTTTTTAGGACTTCATTAATATAAAAAAAATGTAATGTGGTTTAAATCTACATATTTCGGACATTTAGATTTTTTTATTTAGACTTGTCACGTGATGTCGACGTCACATGATTTTAGCAATTATACTTGCAGTTTAGAGGTCATCTATAAATTCCAATATTGCAAGGGCATAACCAAGTTAAAAATCTTAGTTTAATTTATAATCCTTTTCAAAATTATATGTTGTTTGTAAAAAGTGCTGCAAACCTATATAGATTCCCTTTTTTAATTGCAAAAATTTTATTTGTTGGACGGCAGGTTGAATATTTTGCTGGTTAATTACATTAAATATAGTTATAATTGATTCATTTGCAAGATTTCATGAAGTTCGCAGCACTTTTCAAATATCCTAATGCTTCTTGAGTTTATGTGTAAAAACTTGACAAGATACATTGAAGGTATGCCCTTGCAATAAATCTATTTATAAGGACCCTTCCATTACTTTTTCAGTGAATCTGCATTCAAACACACGACAGTATCACTTGTCTGGAGAATGTACGGACAGTTTATAAATAAAATACTAAAATAGACATCGCATCCAAGTTAATGGACCTATATTTATTTAATTGCAAATAATATTTTATTTGAGAACAAAAGACATTTTTCATTGTACAAAATGTGACTTGATCAGCCTCTCACTGTGTATAAACTGCGTCATTTTTGCGAGATGACGTCACATTGACAAGTGCATTGCAATCGATGCATCGTTTATATACTGTTGAGTGGGATTAAACAAACGACAAAACTGCATGTAATATTAAGTTTGTAAGTAGTATACAGCTATCCAGCTGTTTGAAATTGCAAATAATTTCATTTTGTTGTATTTTAAAGACCTTATATTATGTGTGACGTCATAGTAAACATTTCCCGTATTTAAATTAGGCCTCGCCTCCTTACTTTAACCTTAACTGTGCTGGTTTATATTTTTTATTTATATTTATATTTTTTGTGGCTCAATTTTTGTTGGTACCTCTTATCCACAAAAATCTATCCTCCTTAACTTGATATCTACAGGGTATTTAAATCATGTTCCTTTTGTAGGTATAAGTGTATATACGAAATTGCACACCATTAACCTGCTAAATTTAAACAGTCCACGAAAAGATGCTTTAGCAAATGTTGATGATCCACAGTATATCATCAAAATCGTCCTTGAAGTCTTTATCAAAAACATTTTATCAGACTCGCTTTCAAAGAGTTTTACTAGAAAAAAGAAAAGGAAGCTGTTTATTTTCAATGTAAAAAAAAAATATTTAAAAAAAATGAATAGAAAAGATCTGATGTCAACGGAAATGTAGATGAAAAATATTCTTAAAATAAGTACAAATATTTTTTTTTTATTTAAAAAGAAGCCAGAGGAAGTACGGTTTTTTCATTTATACATTAAAAGTACACACTCTAACCGTTACGGAAGATGGTTCATGGGGACACTATAAGTGAATGTTCTTCTTCACAAGGAAGTGACTGTTCCCGAGATTCGAATTCAACTTATTTTTGTAGAAGATATAAACAACGATTGTGAATCAAAATACGCAAGTCAATCCTTATGATGTTAGATACATTGCTTTCATTTATGTTATATAATATATGATATGCATACAAAATGCACTTATACAATATCTTTGTATTTTGACGGTGGTTCGCATTGATTGAATGAGCAACAATAGTCAAATATATTCATGAGATGTTTTGAACCTCCTTGTTAGAAAACTAGGTGTTTATATATAAAGGAATGTTGTCCCTTGTGTTGCATTCCATGCTATTGATAGGGATTACTCTCTCATCTGGATACGGTATGTACATCAATTTGTCAATTTGTCAAAATCTAACATCATTTTTAGCAAACCTACATCTATTTAAATAGTTGTCCTTTCTCTCTTTTTAGGGCTTACAGTTATCTGCATATGTATTAATTTCGTAAGTAATGTTACGAAATACCAACACTGTAAAAATCATTTTAAATCGGCACATATATCTCTTAATGGAATAAGATAAAAGAAAATTATAATAATGCTGTTGCCTATTTTACTTCTCATTCCTCATTTTTTTTCAATACAAGTTATTTTTAATTAAAAGTTAAATTTTATCTAGAGCACGTGGAAGGGCATCAAGCTGTCTTTAACAAGGGCATCTCATTATTACTTTAATATAATTAGTTAATTCAGATTTTGAACAATATTAACGACTTTTTCGCACTACATGTAGGCATTATGTTCGCCTATTCAAAGACTTCACGAAATTCTGTTCAGTATATTGTTTAATGAAATATGACTATAAAATCTTCAATTAAAAAAAAGGAAAGGAAAAGAAAATATAATTAAAACAAGACTCTAAACAGGTCATAATAAGAGACCCTTGGAGATTCAGGACTCAACAAAGATAAGATCAGGTATATAGGATGAGTAAGAATCTTCCCATGACCGCTAACAACTACAGCTGTACCGTAATATGAATTAAACAGAATTGTGTTTTATTGAAAATAAAAATCATAAGGAAATTAGAGGTGAAAGTGTAGGTATTTTATTTTCAAGTTTAAAGTTTCTTTATTTTTCCATGCCAACTTGCACATCGAAGTAGTTATATATGATAATAAGAAGAACAAAAAACATACAGAGAGAGTGTATGTTAAAAAAACTATACATAAAATTACTATGCATCAATTTTATTTTCTAATATTATTATTAGTTCTCTAATATTATTAAAACTTAACAGAAGTTTAATTTGCTAGCACTTTGATTTGTATAATAATACTTTTTCGGAAGACTGCATTCTGTATTTGATTGTTAAATACTTGTTATATAAATTATCATGGAACAAAACATCATAAATAATATACCAAGGCTTTGAATAAATAAAAAGTAACAATTATATGTGCTCGTGTTTTTATTTCAAGAAAGTATCACTTGTACTTTAAAAGAACAATATTAGGTGAAACTGGACCAAAGCTCGACGCAAAGCTATGAGCAGGTCTTCCGACGGACGAGGGAAGTTCAATTGATGTATTTATTTATTTATTTATTTATATCAATATACATGTAACAGATGACTTTGCTGTTCTTGAGCATTTTTCCTATGTATTCATTTGCCCTAATTTGAACACATTTGATTTTGTACTACCTTAGGATGCCTTCATATTATTATGACTAATCATAGCTTTTCTGTTCCTTATATATTCCTATGTAAAACGTTAAGTCGTGATTGTGTCCCCAGAATTATGACTTGAACAAACTTGAGTTAACTTAATCTAAAAATGCTTCCATTATGATATGACCAATCATGGTTTTGCTGTTCTTAGAAATGAGAGATTAAAAAATATTTCCTTTGTTTTCCTTTATCATAGATCACCACTTGTGATCCAAATCCACCCCCAAGGGTCATGATTTTAACAAACCTCAATCTACAACAACTGTTGTCACATATTAATATATATGACCAATAGTGCCTTTTCTATGTTTAAAAAAATTAAAGATTTTAAATGATATTTCCTATATATGTTTATGGAAGACTTTGACCTCAATTTTGGTCACACACTAACCCAGGGTCATGATTTGAACAATCATCTGAGGATGTGTCCATTCAAATATGACCAATCATGGTTTTGCTGATCTCAGAAAGAACAAATTAAAGAATTTCCCAATGTATTCCTTTGTAAAACAAATTGTTCATTGTGGCCCCACCATGCATGATGTGAACAAAGTTTGTTTAGACCAACTGAGGTTGCTTCCATATAAACATGACTAAGCATGGCTTAGCTGTTCTTTAAAAGAATATTTTAACCATATTTTCCTATATATTTCTATGTTAATATTTATTTCCCGTTGTGGCTCCACCTTATCCCCGGGGGGCAGTAATCTGAACAAACTTGAATCTACACTACCTGAGAATGTTTCTATATAAATATGACCAATTTTGGCTTTTGCTGTTCTTGAGAAGAAGATTTTTTTAAGAATTGTGCTGAATATTCTTATGTAAAACTTTAATCGTCCATTGTGGCTACACTCTTTCCCAAGAGGGGGGCGATTCATAATTTGAAGAAACATGAATCTACACTACCTATAACATATACACTAACTACACTATAAATATGACCAATTATGGCTTTGCTGTTCTTGTGAAAAGAATTTTTTAAAGAATTTTGCTATGTATGTTTTCGTAAAACTTTGATTGTTTATTATGGCCCCACCCTACCCCAGGCGGCTCATGATTTGAACTGAGAATGCTTCCATATAAGTGTCATCTTTTCTGGCAGAGATGTCTTTAATGAAAACTCGCGACACCCCCCCCCCCTCCACCCCTTTTTACATGTACATATAAAAAATGCATAATACTACATTAATATTAACCTCAATTTACAATGAAATTTAAAAATAGTTCAAATCCTCGCATTTTTCAGCGATCAAATTTTATGCCAACTGCGTTTTTAATTCTAACATTTCTCGAAATTTCTTCAGATGATTTATCAAGAGAGAAAACAGCACAACAAAGTACAAATCGACCATGTCCTTATGACTGTTCAGCTGGTGTTGCAGTTGATAGAAATGTATCAACTTGCATGGAAACAATGGACATTGGAAGAACTATGATATACAAAACCATGTGGTGGCACGTTGACCTTGGCGATATCTACAGTATTTACAGCATCAGCATTGCGTTTAAATCAGTTGATGGGCGAGGTAATCATCATTATTAATCTATTTATTCTTTTTATTATTACATTTAAATAAATGAACAAGAAACTAGGTCTTTGTCCTGATTGTGATTCATTGAAACATCTTGCTGTTATCCCGAACTTCAACATTCACTAGTATAAAGCCATCTGCGTGGAGTCAATTAAATGAAAAACATGAAAAAAATTCTAAGAAAATTGCAGACTAGCTACATGTACATGTACGTCAGTTATTACACAGGGTAAGTATACTAGACGTGTTAAATTTCATGTTTTGCTACATGTAACTTAAATTTCTGGCAAATCTCTCACTATGCAGATAGCGATCTTTTTAAAACAAGTTGCATTTTTAATTTTAGAAAAAAAAAATGCAAAATTTGGTTTTCTGAGGTGAAATAACATATCACTTTTGTCTGTAAGGTAAAAGCCGAAAAGAATAGATAAAAGGGCAACAAAAGCTAAATGTTCTTTTCAGTTTATGTCTATTTGTTACATGTACATTTTAAAACTTCATCTCATTTTTACACTTTATCATTGTATCATATTAGTTAAACTTCAATGTATCATCTAAGTAGCACAATCTTATTATGGTATGTAACGTATGTGCTCTTCGACAATTAAAATTAATTTTCAATTATTTAATTTTTTTTTTTTTTTGCAAATTTGAATTACAGCAGGTCTTGGAAAGCTAACTGTTTTAATGTTTTGGAATTTTTCAACTGTTCCTTCACTTTCAGAGGAATCTAGTGTTTTTAAACTTAGCATAAATTATAATCTTATTGATCAAAAGGTTACATTGTACGGATACATTTTCTCTACAAAACTTTTAGATTACAAAGACATTTGAAAATGTTAGTTTCTGAATTACTTAATTTTCACATCAAATATCTCTAGAAAAAAGGCAAAGGGGACGAGTTGCTGGATTTTCACTTTTTCTGTCAAACTCTACGAGTAAAGAAAACGGATGGATGTGTTACAAAGACGGACCAGAGTTACCGCCATTAAACTTCAGTACAAACTGTATTGGACATGGCCGTTATGTCATCTACTACAATGAAAGAATCGATGATGAAACCTATCCAGATGGATACGAAACACAGTCCTTTAATTTCCTTTGTGAAGTAATAGTAAAAGGTAAATTTATAGTTTACGACCCATAACAAATCAACATAACATTATGCTAGCAAAGTTTAAAATCGGTTATATCATCACTTGTCTGTATCATCCTGGTAATGTATGACGTTTCAAATAAGGATATACTGAAGCTAGATGTGATTTAATCTGTAGAATTATTATTACATTTATGACTGTACATTTCGCTTAAAAAATATTTTACCCCACACTAATCGGTTTTAATCAAAAAGATATCAGCATTTCATTATTGTTTCTGGGAAACATATCGAAATGCGCTCTGTCACAAAAATAATTATATATTGTTAAACGTACCTTTCAGGATTTTTTATACCCCCCGCTTGAAAAGCGGGAGGGTATATAGTAATCGGTATTTCCGTCCGTCCGTCCGTCCGTCTGTTACGCTTTGGGGTAGCCTTCTCTTATCCGCAACTCCTCTCATACCAATGAAGGAAATTTAATGAAACTTTCACAGAACCTTGTTTACATATTGCCATTGTGCACCTCCTATTTTACTTTTTGATCTGACATATATTTTGGATTTTCCAGAGCAAAACATTGACACTGCCATTTTATTCATAAGGGAGGCGGGGGGGTATCATTTAGTGAGCTCATTGCTCACAGTACTTCTAGTTTTACTAATATTGAATAGTCACCATTAACCAGTGAAGGGCCTAGAATGTAGACCTTTATTCAGCTCAATGAGCAGCGAGATTGCTTCGTGCTAACGCCTACCATCACACGGAAAATCGGTTTTCAAGGCCTCATTCGAAGGACCCGCAACTTTAACAAAATGCCAATTGCTTTGAGCAATAACAGTTTCTTCCTATTTTATTGTCGCCTTAGGTTTGTCTTGACCAAGATTCGAACAAACGACCTTTAAGCCAGGGAGCAAGCATAATAAAGAATTTATTGCCAAGTGCAGCTAAAAAAATATTTTCTGTTTTGCTATCATGAAAAGAAATTATGATTTTTATTATATTGATTTGAAATTATTTTACAAATCATTGGAATTATACGAGGGTTGTTCAATGAGCTCAAGGACAATGAGGGTTTTTTTTTTTTGTAAAAAGGAATGGTCCAAGATTTCTTTATTTTATACCATAACTTTAGCTGTGAAAATTCAAGTAAGAAATAATTTAGTTTATATTGTTTGAACTAAAATACTTTTGTAAAATCACGGTCATTATATTAAAGGTCACCGAAAGTGCGCACTGTCCAGGGTGAAAATGCTACATGTGTATTAACTTTTAATCAAAGTGTTTTGCTCAGAATGATTTTTATGTATATAACACAATTAAAATCTTAATAAAATATAAATATGTTTTGGTAGTAAAGCTGTTATCATCGTTTTCTTTAGCATTGTTTACTAAATGACCAGTATAAATATTAAGTAAAAACCGTCTAACATTGAAAGAAAAACATCACATAAGACCGTGTCGAGCGACTTACCAGTACAAAATCTTTACACTTGAAGCGTCTTCTGAGTCATTAAGGTCTTCCGTTTCCAACGGAAGACCTTCTACTGATTCTGTTGGTAAAGATTATTATTCTTTTTTTTTCTTCTACTTCCTAGACGCCAACTTTGAGGCCTCATATCTCACTCATTTATCAACGGATTTCGCTCAAATTTTCAGACTTTATAGACATTATTAAACTCTATCAGAGTGGTATCCAACATTTCAAAAATTCACTTCCGCTTTTGAGTTATTCCCCTTTAAACGAAAATTTATAGGCTTTCGTTTCCGGATAAAGGCTCAGAGACCACAAAATCTGGAGCAGAATTTTTACTGATTTTAGGTAACAGAAGGATTGAAGTTGTGCACATCGGTTTTTGTTTTTCGATTTCTGTATTCACAATGGCGCTATATAGGGGTCAAAAATTAGAACGCCTAAAAGAGCGAAAATTTACACATATTTTCCTTTTTATCTTGAAAACTAAAAATATTTTGTTAAGACATAATGAACAAAAGTTGTGTATAATTGCAAGGGCTTTCATATGATAATATTCAAAAGGGGCTGGCCCCTATAATTAGGGATCAAGGGACCTTGAAAGTTTTTGCTTTATAACTCAAAAACGGTAAATATTTCGAAATGACTATTGATTATAAAGTTGTGCTTTAACATCTTACTGATCTCATGAAATTGTTATTGTGTTCGAGTCTTCTTTTAAATGAGCTGGTACATGACCTATATATGCACAGGTAATTCTTTTCTCTCAGCAGGTAAACGAGAGCTTCTCATGCGTGTAATTAAAGCAAGCTTACTATAAATAATAAATATGGCTACATTGGATGAAAATATTCTTCAGAATAAAGTTCTCGAAGTGTTTGTGCTTTTTTCTTACAAATTATCATGTTTATTCACTGACAACTTTCTCTTTTATTTCATTTTTTAAAAATCGTATAAACCAAGTCTACTAAAAAGGGAAGAAAATATAATCTTTTCTTCTTATCACATAAAAGCAAACAATATAGTGAGAAAATAAAACATAACTAAAAAGCACATATACTATTCACAGCCATTAAGTACACGGCTTTAACATTCACCTTGTTTGTTTACAATAATTTTTATTATATAACGCGCCTCCCTCGATAGCGGCGGGGCAAAGTCGGTCACCGGGAATCAATCGGCGTGTGATCCAGCGACCTACAGTCATACACAAAAAAAACACCACAGAATGGTTAAAATAATTCTTGATAAAATTGTTCCTTCTTATACTATCTCTGTCCCATGAAAATATTATTTTGTTCGAGTCTTACGTATGGTAGGAAAGAAAGCTAGATCCGTATTCACCGTAAACAAGGCTCCGTTCTCATTTTGATATTGAAGAATAATTGAAATAAACTTGCCATTAGTAATAAATATTTTACCACGCTGTATCATATCTCTTTTTTAAATTAGGTTTCAAACGTGTTCTTTGTTTCCCGTTCAGAGTATTCGATGGTATCATTTTCCTTTTATTAATAAAGATCTTTCCAAGAGAAAGAGTTATAGAAAAAAAGTACGAGTATCTTTTATTCGTTTTAAATATAAACACAAACAATTTGAACGGAAACAATATACGCCCGGATTTCATAAAAAAAACTTTTAAGAGTCAAATAATACACAATTATTTACTGCGCGATTCTCACATTCACCTGGAACCTAGATTCTAGAAGTGTGTTTACCATTACGTAATCTATCTTTCGATTACACGCGGCCGAGAAATTCTAAAGCGACACACCGCGGTGAACCATTGATCCCGCAGTCATAGGCAAATAATTGGTATATACAAACCATTCTACAAAAGAGGGTTGATCCAAAAGTAATGTCACAGTGTCGATATCTTTTATATTTGGCGTCATATTATCAAAAACAATATACCAAAAGATGCACAAATATAAATCTAACTAGAGCCGAGCTTGTTGCAAAGCAACGAGTAGGTCTTCCGTCGGAGCTACGGACGAGAGAAATGACCTTGAGTCAAGGTCATGCCACGTTCTAATGATAAAGCAATCTTTTAAGGGTAGATATCATCTTATTATGTTTTACTATTAAAAAAGTGATAGTAAAGGAATGTTTGCGACCTTGACCTTGTCAAAATGACCTTGGGTCACACCATGACACAAGATGGTGATGAGCATTCCCCATTTGTGTGCTACTGTATTGACAAATTCACACATGTTTTTTTCAAACAATGCATCCAGTCAAAATATCTTATCTTAAATGACCTTGATTCAAGGCCATAACACACTCTCCATGATTTAAGCCATACCTTTTTTTAATATATTCGATCAGTGCATACTATTAATGCAAGATATATTACTGTATTCAGCGGCAGCTCACACAAATTGGTCCGACCAAAATAGTTCCATCATGATAAGTAGATACAACATTATTGTTCATGATAAGAGTAAATTTGTGTATGTCATACGTTAAAGAAATCAAAAATAACTTCAAAATATTATTAGAAAATCACTTTCCCCCCGAAATGCAAATAAAAAATATCAATATTCCTACGCTCGCTCCCTCCTCAGCCTTTTTTTTTTTACATGTTTGATATCAGAGAATATTTAGGTCATTCTTCGATTCATATCTTTTCACCGATGAATTGATAATACTATATCAACAATTGTATTAAGTACATGTTTATAGTCCGTTAATTATCATACAATTTCTTCTTAAAGAAAAAAATAATCATTCTGTGTGTGTGTTTTATTAAATGACGGAATTTTCAATCCCTGGCCGGATTCTGCTCGTGTGTACACTTTGTAAACTGTAGCGTATGTGTGGCAAAACGAGAACTGGGTCGGAGATTCGGGTTCGTGTTGAAGTTCAGCATACCATTTTATATAGAACTTGAATAATATAAGTAATTTCTGCGACGAATACATTAGTATATTTCAGTAATTTTCAAAACAAAAAAGGTTTTCAGTTTAGAATTTTCCGACCCGGTCCTGATTTTCCTAACCCGGCCATATTAAACACAAGTTGTTGCAGATGCAAATGTTAGAACAAACTATATTTAGTTCAACAGGGATTGTATAATTTTTATTAATCAGAATTCGTATTCATATGATCTAATTAAGAAAAGAAAAATTTTGTCTGCCATCGTAACTTCTCGGCAAAACAAAACGTGTTTCTCCGAGCTCGCTGGATGCGTTTGACAGCTCCATCGCATGTGTGTAGACCAAGGCTAATGTTGGTCTTGCGGACACAGGTACATGTAGGCCTCTGTGTACTGTTTGTTAGGAGACTGGGTGACCGTAATGCTATGGACTCACAAAATTTACAACAGTTCCATAATTAGACAGTGCAGTTTTTTTTTATTAACGTCATTATAAACACTGTTAAACATATTAAATCTAAAAGTCGAATATCTTTGGATATGGGGTAACCCATATCTATTCTTGTTTAGATAGGCCTTGTCACAGCTAATATACATGTGTAAAAAGTTATGGTCAATTTTAAGCAATGTTTAAATTTTGGAAAAGCCGGATAAACTTCAAGGTCAAAGTTCATGATATACTAGTATTTGATATGATTTTTTCACAGGTTACGT